AAGAGATTTCAAGATGGACGAAATTTAATGTACAAAATAAAGAGATTTCAAGATGGACGAAATTTAATGTACAAAATAAAGAGATTTCAAGATGGACGAAATTTAATGTACAAAATAAAGAGATTTCAAGATGGACGAAATTTAATGTACAAAATAAAGAGATTTCAAGATGGACGAAATTTAATGTACAAAATAAAGAAATTTCAAGATGGATGAAATTTAATGTACAAAATAAAGAGATTTCAAGATGGACGAAATTTAATGTACAGAAGAAATGAAGAGTTGTCTTTGTTTCCAAAGCCTTTGTCTCTTTAAATAAATATATTTAGTTCAGTATAAATTATTCTGTGTATGAAAGTTCTAACATATTCATATCGAAGAACAATTAGTTTCACATTCTTATTTTAACAATGTTATAATCAGCTGTTACACGTAATTGTGACAGAACCTACCATCAATTTACGTAATAACGCCGGTTTTCAAACATCCAGGAGACCAATAAGAATTCAGTTTCAAAGTAAACAGGATCGATTCGTGGGCTGGAGTACTATCTCGTAATATTACTTTTAAAATATGTCCTAAGCTAATGATTTTTATTTTTTTAATGAAAGGTGAATGTAGGTAAGTTTGCTATAATTAGGTTTGATACAAGTAGATTCAATGTAAATAGATTTAACAAAAATAAATTTAATGTACATAGTTTAGTACAAATATTTAAAATGTAAATAGATTTAACGTAAATAAATTTAGTACAAATATATTTAACACAAATATGTTCGATACAGATAAGCTTGAAATAAATAGCTTCAACACAAATGGGTTTAATATAAACAGCCCAATATGAATAAATAAATGAATAAATAAATGTACAAATAAATGAATGAATTGTTATAAAGAATGATATCCTACATTCATATTATATTAAACACACGTGTTTCCGTTTTATGAAACGAGAGTGACCTTCATATGTCCTTTATGTCTCCCCTACAGAAAACTAATTGCAATGATATGTGACTCGAAATCATGTAACTTCTATACGAAACATCTGTTGCTGATTAGTTTCAAAGATACTGTGCTAGATCATTTCAAACAAGATACCCTATACATAACTGGTAATTAACTGGTTGCTGACTAGCAGTGAATGAAAATGTTGTATATAAATCATGCTGTATAACTATACTGTACTGTGCAGCAGTGTTGGTATACTGTACTGTATTATACGATGGCTCTTGAATTAAAAATTATCAAATTTATAATTCTAATAGTATGTAATAGTAATAATATGTTAATTTATTGTATCTGTTATTATGTATGTTTAGCTATTATACTAGTAATAGTATATGTAATAGTATGTTATACTACAATTATACATAACTATAAATTATGGTCAAACTTGTACCACAACATTGAAAATCAATATTACTGATTTATCATTAAATTGAAGTAATATAATAAGAATACATACTACAGTTATAAATGAAATTGAAAATTATTTAAAAAATTGTTTCATAACGTTACACAATTTATTGTATAACACTTTGAAATATAATTACAAATATTTTATGTAGTGAATTTCCATCATAAAACGAGTTTATGAAATAGAATGACAAAAAATGCGAACCGAGAGGTTTCGGCAACCATTGCATGCTATTTCTTGTAAACTTAAATCAAATTGACAGGGGACGATTATGAAACCTGTTCTTCCGGTTCCTGTGCGAGGATCCCCCGTTTCTAGAATTCTACGAACGAATTTCGTTCTACAATTTTAGTCGCGTAAAAATTCGCGTATTTTTAACGAAAATGCAGATTAGAACAAAGTTTTGTGACTTATCAAATATAAATGAATTACATTAATAATTGTTGAAATCATTTCTTTTCTTACAATTTGTTATTTTGGATCATGAAAAATTTTGTAAAAAAATAAATATAGAATAACTGAAGTTAATTACATTTCTGTGTAACCAATTAATTAATAGAGAAGTTGACTATATTTCTACATTTCAGTTAATAACTAACAAATTAGCTGACTAAGGTATTAAAAACCATAGTAGGTTATGTTACTTTACCTAATTATGGTAGCTTAAATTATATCAGTCAAATTAAATCAAATTTAATTCTATACTGTTTGGTTTAGGTATTTAAGGTTGAAACATAATCAAGTTAGAACATACCGTTCAAATTAAAAATATTATTACACTACTTTTGTGCAAACAATTTTCCCAAATCATTGAAACATACAAAACTAATGAATGACTAGAAATGTTCATATTTATAACACTATCAGAACACATGTTTTAACTATTGAATCACATCACAAATAAATACAATGTCCATTGAAGAATCGACAGGAAATGCATAGTACTCAATCTTATCAAGACAATACAACGCTCGTATAAAAATTACTACGTCCCCGACCAACATTATTTTTCTATGAATTAGAATCTGAAACAAACGGGAAACTGCGAGGAGCGATATGTAAACACCCAGTCATAAACACGATAAATTACTTGTCAGGATGTTTATCTTTTCACGAATAAACAATTTTTCTCGACGAATTTATTTTCTCTTCGTACGTGGTGACCGTGAATAATTTCATCGGGAGACAAAATAATTTTTCATTAAATGGTAGACGTTTTTAAAGGATAAAAAACAAAATAACTTTTCATTAAATTGTTTTTAAAATTTTTGTCTCAAGATGTCCCACATAATTTAATGAAAATTATCAAGTTTTGCGAACGCTAGCAAGTTTTTAGAGAGACTATCTATTCGATCATTATTAAGTTTCAAGAGGAAAGTTATAAGCATAGATATCTTGTGGCAGACTGGTCTCTTAATTTTAGAGAGGATCCAAACTGCGTTTGAAGATCTGCAAGATGGACCCAATCTGCATGTTAGGGAAACCAGTTTACATTCTGAAGATAAATAAATTGCGTTCCACAGACGATTTGGGATGCTAATGTTTCCAAAACTTGTGAATTTAAGAATTTGGAGATTTGGGAGTTTGGGAAAGAATGTATAGATTTGCATACTTGCACATTTGCAAATTTATAAATTTGGTAGTTGAGGAATTGAGGAAACTTACAGTATGGGAATTTGGGGATTTGGAGATTTGGGAACCTGAGGTCCTGAAAATTTGAGAATTTGGGAGTTTAGAAATTTGAAGACCTGAGGATTTGAAGGTTTGAGAATTTGGAAATTTAGAAATTTGAAGATCTGAGAAGTTTGGACGCTTGAGAATATGGGGATGTGGAAATTTAGGTGCTTGAGAATTTGGACGCTTGAGAATATGGGGGTCTAGAAATTTAGGTGCTTGAGAATTTGGACGCTTGAGAATATGGGAGTCTAGAAATTTAGGTGCTTGAGAATTTGAGAGTTTAGAAATTTGAAGACCTGAGGATTTGAAGATTTGAGAATTTGGAAATTTAGAAATTTGAAGATCTGAGAATTTTGGACGCTTGAGAATTTGGGGGTGTGGAAATTTAGGTGCTTGAGAATTTGAACGCTTGAGAATATGGGGGTCTAGAAATTTAGGTGCTTGAGAATTTGAGAGTTTAGAAATTTGAAGACCTGAGGATTTGAAGGCTTGAGAATTTGGAAATTTAGAAGCTTGAAGACCTGAGAATTTCGGACGCTTGAGAATATGGGGATGTGGAAATTTAGGTGCTTGAGAATTTGGACGCTTGAGAATATGGGGGTCCAGAAATTTAGGTGCCTGAGAATGTGAACGCTTGAGAATATAGAAGTCCAGAAATTTAGGTGCTTGAGAATTTGGAAATTTAAATACTTTGAAAGCTAAAGATTTGAAGATTTGAGAATTCATACATTCGACAATTAGAAAATCTGAAAATTTACAAATTTACAAATTTAATATAAAATATCCCACGTTATATCCTTCGCTCTACTTACAGTACACATCACATGCAATACTTTTTATCATAAATTAATTTCAATGTAACATAGGTGCGGTATATCTGCATACGAATGAAGAAATTAATGCAAACTTCTAAGTAAATAGACACACCTCATTACTGACGTTATTTCTTTTTTACTACATACAATGGAACACGAAATGTGCTCAACGATATGGAAACTCAGGGTGTATCTCTTCCGGGAAATTAAAAATGAAGTGTTGCATAAACTGACGCTTCAAATTCAACGTTTCGTTTTAACCAGTTGTTTAACATTTATATTCAACGCAATTCTAAAATGGCGTCCATTTCTCTAAGGTCTCGACCATGAATTTTCAAATTATTTTACTCTATTAATTACCTTATTAATTAATACTTGACCTCTTATTAGAGCTATTCTTGTTTGATCATTTTTACATTCAACGCAATTCTAAAATGGCGTCCTACGCTTATCGTTTCCCTCAGGACTCGACCATGAATTTTCAAATTATTTTACTGTATTAATTACCTTATTATTTAATACTTGACCTCTTATTAAAGCTATTCTTATTTGATCATTTTTACATTCAACGCAATTCGAAAATGGCGTCCTACGCTTATTCTTTCCCTCGGGTCTCAACCACGCATTTACAAATTATTTTATCATATTAATTACCTTATTAATTAATACTTGACTTAGAGCTACTCTTATTTGCAAATATCATTTTTACACAATTTTCCAAACTAACAACACTGTAAAATTAATAATATTTTCTTGAACGTTTTGAAGTACAGTATTTCTTCTTAGGTAAATAATTAAAAGTAAAACATACAAAGTATATCAGTAAAAATTGTTTGTTTAAAAAGTCGAAGTGTTTTTGAATTATTCAGTATCTATTTATAGAATTTTCGTGAAAACTGATTCACTCGATTCTAAAGTATTATTCATCTCCCAAAGAACTCAAAAAGCATCTAATCTCCAGTTCAAGGAATTTCGCCTGACAGAAGAGAAGTTCATAAGTTTCAGCCCCAAGAAACTTCCATTGTAATTCCTTTCTTCGGACTTTCGCGCTAAGTCATTCACGAAATCGTAAAATTCAAGTGGATGCTTACCTGTAAGATTCCGTTCACGTAAACGAGGTCCTCGGCGTCGATCACATAAGTGAATGTCGCCCCTGAACATTTCGTTGATGTTCTGCTCACATTCAAGAAGTCCAGCGTGTCCAATTCCTTCGGTAACAAGGATAAAAATTCATCGATATCCGAAAAGTATCCGTCAGGAATGGCCTCGAATAGCGGAATGCAGATTCCACGGTGCTCGTCGAAAAATGAATTCTTCGGACAACATCTTCTGATGTTCAGAAGTCGGGGCAGAGGCAGACTCGGTTCTTTGTTTTCTTCTCTGTCTTCGTTCGAGCGACATTGAACAATTAGAGGATAGTTCGTGCCCGATTCGATATCGTCGAAAATTTCTATGCAGCTTGATTCCTGGAACAAAAAATTAATGGAGATTAATGATGATGATAGATCTGATGATTCAATTTTGCTTGATCATTTTTTTGTTTGTCGAAATGAGGCGGCAGATCTCGGTGTATAATCTTTGCACGGATTGTACTGGCTTCTTTACAATCGTAATGCGCGGAGATTTATGAAGGCTTTACATTCTCTGTTATATAAGTGTACGATATTTAGAATTCAGAAATTTAGATATTTAAAAATTTAGAAATGTAAAAATGTATAAATGTACAAATGTACAAATTTAAAAATGTAAAAATATAAAATTGTAATAATGTAGCAATGTAACAATGTAACAATGTAACAATGTGATAATGTAATAATATAAAAAATGTAAAAACGTGAAAATGTATAAATTTAAAAATGTAACAATGTAACAATGTAACAATGTAATAATGTAATAATATAAAAATGTAACAATGTAACAATGTAACAATGTAATAATGTAATAATATAAAAAATGTAAAAACGTGAAAATGTATAAATTTAAAAATGTAACAATGTAACAATGTAACAATGTGATAATGTAATAATATAAAAAATGTAAAAACGTGAAAATGTATAAATTTAAAAATGTAACAATGTAACAATGTAACAATGTAATAATGTAATAATATAAAAATGTACAAATGTAAAAATATCAAAATATAAAAATGTTAAAAATGTAAAAATGTAAAAATGTAAAAATATAAAAATGTAACAATGTAATAATGTAATAATATAAAAATGTAAAAATGTAAAAATATAAAAATATAAAAATGTAATAATGTAATAATGTAAAAATATAAAAATTTTTAAAATTCATTCTCTAATTATCCGCCAATTATCCCCATCATTAATTTCATCAACCAGCAACTGCACCATCAATCTCTCTCAAGACAGATCCATTTCCCAATGTCACAAATCACTACCGAAAAGTAGCAAATTACAAGATCAAGATTTAACGAATTTAAAGAGAATCAATCAAGCGTGCTTGGACCAAAACGTGCCAAGAAAGGAACAGGCACAATTTCAAGCAATTTAACACGCTCGATTTGACTGTGCCATTCGAAAATTTTAAATTACCGTTCACTGTTTTACTCTTGATTTATGTAGCAATTTAATATCTTTAAAATATTAGTTACATACTTATTTTTGTACGAATAATTCAAATCTATCGTACATCAAATAGGAGAACAAAGAACTATTTATTTTAAAGTTTATTCAAACATGTCTTCAGTTTTGTGAAATTTATAAAATTGTTTTAGAAGATCAGAAAGCTTCAAGAGAGGTCCACAAACAAATTTCATATTGCTGTTGGTGAAAGACGAAGAATAAAATATACATAATGGATGAGAGTACAAAAGAACATTTTTGTATAATTTTATACTCGTAACAAATATTATGTACCTCTTTGTACCCGAGTTTGCACAGACATCAAACCATAAAAATATCAAACTTCATTTTGTTTAAAGAACGACGAGCTTCAAAATTAATCTGGTTCCAGAAATTAAAAAACAGTTTACCTCTATAAAAAACGAAAAGAACCTAACCTAACCGCGTTTACAATTGAGAATATGTACCTGCAAGAAGTCGGTGGATGTCACGTTGGCAAGCGGTGTCGTAGCGATGTCGTCCTCGCGCGCACAAATCGGAATTCCAAACTGACTTCCAGACGCGTTCAAACTGATATTGTAGCCCACATTATCGAGATTGTAAAGCTCTATCGAGCGTACAGGTGTGGGTGCGCATCCAACTTTTGATAAAACACCTTCCGTGAAGACTTCACCAGGTGAACAACACTTTTTGAACCGCGTCTTCAACGACGTGTCAGCCAATGACAGCGTAATTAACGCCAAAGAAATGAAAATTATCTTCATGATGAAAGATGGTCCACGAAACGATTGACAAATTTTGGAAATGTTTGCACCTTTAAAATTTCACTGCTTTTGTTATCTTGTCGCAGCCGACTCACACACAGTGATTCAATATTTAATATTTATTTAGGATGATTGCAGCGATGTTTTACAGTGTTTCAATATTTAATATGTGCTTAAGTATCGCTCAATTACAGTGATACTTTCGTGTTTCGATATTTAATGTATATTAGATTGGTCACTAGTTAGTTTGATGCTTTATAGTATTTTAGTATTTAATATTTAAGGTGATCACTGACAGTGATATTCAATTTATATTTAAGGTGCTCACCGCTCACTTACGGTGATATTTTAATATTAGATTTTAAGTGGTAACCAGTGATGCTTTTTAATATTTAATACAGTCACCAGTGACTAATAGATATTTTGTAAAATTTAATATTTAAGGTAACTGCTCACAGTATTCCAATATTTAATCCAAATATCCTCACCGCAGCGTCCAACACCGCACGTACGACTCAAAATTTTGATCACATCACCTAACACTTCACAGCAAACCCCTTCCTCCGATGTCCACCACTCAGAAGCGACTGACCAATCGGACCATCCAAAGGTGTCCAGGCAAAATAGCAAAAATCGATGAAAATATTATGGCCGATCACCGAAACGATCCCACCGAGTTCCACTCTCGAACACGCTCCTCTGAATGATCTGCACCTTAACTCATTTGAGTTTCAGCCCCTCTACGTGGATCTTCTCGGAAACGGTAACTAAAATTGACCCGTGGGTGTGTCTTGTTCAACGAAGTGCTCCACTTTCTCTATTTTTATATCGATTTATTAGATTCCATCGCAGCTTTGATCTCCAGGAGTCGTTAAGGACGTCGCTGCTTGTTTTAATTACGCGAGTGTCAAGACACTGAACAGCAGAAGCAAGCAAGTTCGAAGAATCGTTCAAAATCGCGAGACACGATTAATACTGTCCGATTGTTCTACACAAACTCCTAGGTATCCGGTCTCGACGGCAATCTCACAGTCGCCGAACACAAAGCACCTCGTGGTCGATTAAATCGTCGCTTCCGTTGCATAATGCAACGCGTTGCACGCACACTGCTGCATCCTGGTAATCTCGTGAGGCGTCCTGGCCGATTACAAAGGAGCTATTACTCGAAATTAGCCGGCACGTTTCGAGGAAAGTAATCTTGTCCGTGGGTCCCGATGAAACTTTACGTTCTCGGTTCGTTGACCAAAAGCTACCCTTCGAAATTATTATTATTCCCTGCTCCTCTGATTGATTTCGCGACCTGGATCTCGTTACTTCTTCTTTATTCTCCTTGCCTTTGTCTATCGATCACGTAGCCGATCCACCCTCTTTTCGAGATTCCGTATTCTCACGGGCCACCTTCCTCTTCCGCGAATAATTTCCGAACGTTGCTTCGGGACTTGTTAACGAGGCGATCGATTTCCTGCGACGACCAGCAAAAAGTATTCATCTATTTCCAAGGTTGCGAGCCTTGTCAGCCTCCGTTAAGGCACCCCGCTTCGACCCGCTATCACACAATTCGTTCTCGATACGCGTTTTCCACTCCAACGGACTCCACTTTTCTCTTCAACTCACGCTCCGCTTGTTTTATCCGTCTAATTTATCTTTCCTCGCGCCCTTGTCGTTGACCAATTTCTCCTGCTGCCCGCTCTTCCAGCTGCCCGGCTTAATTCCGCCGCGTTATTTGCGGTATCGCCTTGACACGCACTCGGACCTCTTCTCCTGAATTTATGTTACAGGCACCCCCTTCTCGCAATTTTTATTGGTTTCAACTTGATAGTACTCTTTACCCTCAGTTTACTTCAGTTAGATCCTTTGCTTCACCTTACTGTTACAAGAAGATTTTGCACTGGTATCCTAACAGCTTACTAGTTTGTCTTTCACTGACTATTGTTTCATTCATAATTGAGTCTCTTAACCTCACAATATTATCCTTACTGTTTCTAGGTAGGTACCTAATGTTTCTTACTGTGTACTGTTTTAATCCTGACGTATCCTTATGATTTTAGCTGAAGTACATCTGATGTTGCTGACTGTTTATTTTTGAATCCTATACTGTCTTAGCTATGAAGTTATTTCTGTTTTTTTTAATCCTGAAATATTTTTATGATTTTAGCTGAAGTACACCTGAGGATGCTGACTGTCTGTCCTTGAATCCTATACTGTCTTAGCTATGAAGTTATTTCTGGCTGTTTTAATCCTGAAGTACCCTTAGAATTTCAGCTGGAGTACATCTGACGTTGCTGACTGTCCTTGAATCTCTTACAGTTTCAGCTATAAAGTCTTATTCCCTGCTGTTTCAGTTTTGAAGTATTTATACTATCCTTATATCCCTGAATCCTCGTTATAGATCTTAATATCCCTGCTTCAAAATAAACCTCGAGTTTTCCTACGAATCTGAGAATGATCTACAAAAGCGCTGATTGCAGTTATCGGTCGGTTTCCCATCGGTAGGCGGATATCTACGTAGCCTGAAGATTGTAACTCGGCTTTGTCCCGAAAGAAGCGTTCATCGCTCGTCAACGATCCTCTCGTTCTATTTTCCCGCCTGGAGATCGATCTTGCCAACTCGAACGAGCCAAGTTACCCCATCAAACCCGATCCTCCCAGTTTACTCCAAACCGCGACTACAATTTCACGTTTGCCTAGGAGACACCGTGATCCTCTCGTGCTGTTTTAATCCTCAAGTATCCTTATAATTTTAGCTGGAGTGCACCTGATGTTGCTGACTGTTTATCCTTGAATCCTATACTGTCTTAGCTATGAAGCTATTTCTTGCTGTTTTAATCCTGAAGTATCCTTATAATTTTAACTGGAGTACACCTGAGGATGCTGACTGTCTGTCCTTGAATCCTTTACTGTCTTAGCTATGAAGTTATTTCTTGCTGTTTTAATCCTGAAGTACCCTTATAATTTCAGCTGGAGTACACTTGATGTTGCTGACTATCTATCCTTGAATCCTTTACTGTCTTAGCTATGAAGTTATTTCTTGCTGTTTTAATCCTGAAGTACCCTTAGAATTTCAGCTGGAGTACATCTGACGTTGCTGACTGTCCTTGAATCTCTTACAGTTTCAGCTATAAAGTCTTATTCCCTGCTGTTTCAGTTTTGAAGTATTTATACTATCCTTATATCCCTGAATCCTCGTTATAGATCTTAATATCCCTGCTTCAAAATAAACCTCGAGTTTTCCTACGAATCTGAGAATGATCTACAAAAGCGCTGATTGCAGTTATCGGTCGGTTTCCCATCGGTAGGCGGATATCTACGTAGCCTGAAGATTGTAACTCGGCTTTGTCCCGAAAGAAGCGTTCATCGCTCGTCAACGATCCTCTCGTTCTATTTTCCCGCCTGGAGATCGATCTTGCCAACTCGAACGAGCCAAGTTACCCCATCAAACCCGATCCTCCCAGTTTACTCCAAACCGCGACTACAATTTCACGTTTGCCTAGGAGACACCGTGATCCTCTCGACGACGGTGATCGAGTCCATGGAAATCGCGCATAAATTCGCGATCACATTCTGCGAACCGATCGGATGAGACTTGCCAACCGGTTATCGGTTAGCTGCCGATGAAGGACGATCTGAGAGAAGGCACGCAACGACACGACCTACACGAACGCAGAAACGCGACTGTAAGCTCGTACGAGCAGAGATCACAGCGAAATTCGACTAAGCCTAGCACGAGAATGAGAAGACCATGCACGACGCGCCTCTTGCCGTTGGCGCCTCCTCCTCCTCTTCAGACTGCCTCCCCGCCGCAGGATTCCCCTCTACGGAAACACAAACCTTTTTTATACCTTGTGTTTCTGTGAATGCGACCGTTAATCGATCGTACGTATGTCTCGTGTTCGATCGTGAGACTGAATTACCCGCTGAGACCGTACCGCTAGTCATTTCTTCTGTTTTCGACGGAGGTCTTTTTAGGGGAAACTAGTTGAACCTGTTTGAGGGCGTTCTTTTTCGTTGCGGTTTATTTTTTTTACAGGGATACTGTTTCTTGAGAAAGTTTTGTGGAGGGAATTTTATCGATGCAGTGGCGTAGGGTTTAGTTTCTAAATATTTTAGTATTTAGGACTTGGAGCAGAAGCTATGATTTGAGAAATTTGTATATTTATACAGAAATGAATCTAATCTTTTCATAGAATTATTTTCCCATCCGAGAATGCATTGATGACATTGCATTGTCAACTATAACAAATTCAGCACAAAATGTGCTATTCGAAATTTCTTAAAATTGCAAATAACCTATGTTAAATATTAAATTCCCCGTAATTAAAATTGTTAACGATCGATCCTAAATTTCCATCCGTTAAGCCATCTTATCACCGCCATATTTAACTAACGTTAGATTCCCTGCTTAGCTACGCCAATGCTTGCATATCTCAGTGATAGTAACTTCGGTGAAAACGAAACAAGGTACGAGGAAAATATGATAATTACCACGCCGCAATTGTGTCGAACTTCTGTTTCATAAGTATACGTTAATTGAGCACTGGTAAAACTTTCTCAGGAAAATAGAATTCATTAAACGACCTGGTGACTCAACTAAATAGACATGTACCGAGCGGATGATTATGCATTTAAGTCCATTGTGACAGTTTTTATTCCGAGAGTTTGTTGAACGAGTAAATATATCCTGTACGGAGTCACATTCTGTGCGATATTTAGGGAAATATATTCTACACAATATTTATACAGGACGCCCCAGTTTTTCGCTACCAAACTTTATTTTCATATTGTTCTGATAAAAGTGAGACACGAGGTTTTAAACAGTTATGACAGAGATACGAAATGAATTTGTTTAATATCACGTTTTGGCTACATAACTTTAGGAAAATATTCTATAAATAAAAGAAAAAATGTTTATGTGAACATAGGTTCATAAATGCCTTAGTGAAAGTTTATATAAATATAGGCTCACAAATGATTTATTAAATGTTTATATAAATATAGACTCTCAAATGTTTATATAAACATAGACTCACAAATGTTTATATAAACATACACTCACAAATGTTTATATAAACATACACTCAACAATTTTTATATAAACATACACTCACAAATGTTTATATAAACATAAGCTCATAAGTGCTTGATTAAAAGTTATTGAAAAAAATGGCGGTCACCAGTTAATCTTTTGATGAAACATTTAACAGCCCATGTTTACCTAACATTTTTATTTACACATGCTAGTTTTTCCTACAAAGCGAGAACGTATCGAAAAGCAATCCAAAGTCATTTAATAAGTCTTTAACCCCTTAACCTACAATTTTCTAGGCAGCTGCGTCATGCATAGCTAATTACCACAATATGAAGTAAGGTTAAAAAGTTAGGTTTAGTATTCAAAGATTAGAAGGGAACCCAAAGTTCAATTGCGATGAAAATACGAGTGTGGCTCATCACGAATGCGTCACGAGTGATATAAAGGCAAAGGGTTATCTTAAGCTTTCTTCTTACAAAATAATCATATTTCTTCTGAAGTATGTTCTCGACGAAGTATGTTCTGTAAAAAGGGAGACGTATTCCATACAACGTTTGGTATATCATGGACTTATAGTGAATATTTTATATAATGTTTAGGTAAACATATTTCAGAAGATGGATAAGTAAGCCCCGTACGTTTTTTCCAGGTTTATGCTGTTTATCCTGCAAGGATTTGGTTATATAATACCTATTTCGATGCAAATAGTCGCAAAATGGCGGAAATATCCGCTTAGTGCGTAAGCTGATATTCGATAAAAAATTGTTCGCACAGAACGAAAGTATGACGTGATACGACAGTGAATGTATTGAAATACTGTGTCAAAAAGAAATTATATGCAATAAAATTGAAATTATATGTTACTGTAGTGATAAGTTTAAGTAAGTTCTACCGTAAATGTCATTAAAATATCATCAAACTAAATTAGTTCATGGGAAAGTAGTTCATTGTGTCAATAGGTTTTAAGACCAAATTATGTACTTTATTGTATTTAAAAAATTTAGAATACATAAGTCTTTTATTTTACTAAAAAAATGGTAGCAAAAATATTTTCGATTCTTTTATTAAATTTGTCAATTTGAAATGACGTACTATACTTATTTAAAAATTTTTGTTTAAATAATCATAGAAGATTAATAACAAAGAAACGAAGAGAAGGATGCAATATTGTTTAATAACAAAAAAAAGAATAAAATTATAATATACTTAGATCTGCAACTTCCACATATTATTACGAAGCAAAATTATTAATTATTTCTTTTAAAATCTTATCCGCATACTATTGAATATATGCAGTTTCTTGACGTTATTATGCGAATTAGGGCAGAACCGTCGAACAAATATAAAGATTTAAATATATATCTGAAAAAGTGCTTGGAAACTTAACAACCGAAACAGGTTATGAACGTTTCAGTAATTCCAGTGAAGAGAACCTGGATGTCGAGCTTTTCTTGTGATGCAATTAAAAACTATATTTAAACATGTTTATCTTCGTTCGAACCGTTTTTAATCCTTTCACTGCTAGGAATTATTCTATTACATGTACATTTTGAGATGATGGACGTACAACATATTTGCATTTCGAGATGATGGACATAAAAAAGACGTATTAAATTTAAAAACATCAAAATTATGACCATTAAAATTTGATATCTGAAAGAATAGTAAAATCTGTATTTACAAATCATTTTCATTATAATATGATTGTTATTTTCCAAACAAAAGAGCGGGTTTTTGCTTCGTATTTTAAGAGTTAAAAAAGTACCCATACTTCCAATGTGGTCTAAAACCAATATCGACAGGTTTTATACGCGTCTGAATGGTTTGAATTGTGGCTGCAGAAAGGTTTCACCACGCTTGATCAACGATACCTTTATTTGCAATAAATTGGTTTATGAATGTTACATTGATCGATTATTTACGAAAACGGTGTCAGTGAAACCATGAAAAGACGGTGTCAGAAAAAGAAGCTGGCAATGAATAGTCGACAAGATCATAGTGGATGTTAAGACCGCAAGAAGCGATGGAAGAGGTGGTATTGAGAGAATGAGAGAAACTATTGCATTATGCTAAAAGCGAATGAGGAAATTCTACATAATTTTCCATATTTTATCACCGTAATCGTCAATATTCGCAAATACAATAGAACGGAGTAGATTTTCCTGTTCAATAATTTTCGATAAAAAAAATAACTTCATAAATATAATAAAATACTGGTAAGTTGGAAGAAGTTAAGAAAGAAGATATACGAAGTTGAAGGAAAGTAAATAAAGTTCTGACTTTACATATTCATGAGAAAAATTTTAGTCTGACATATTAATTACACCCTTGACTCACTTTCAGTAAGCGAATATTAAAAGTTAATAAAAAACCCATTCGTAAAGTGCTTTCGCAGAAGGTTCAAAACTGCGTCGCATTTCGAAGGAATTTTTTGTCCGACATTTTTAGACATACTCGTTAAATTCTGAACGATAATAGTGTTTTTGACCTTCATATATTTATGCTAGATGACACCTATTCTTAATGAAAACAATTCTGAACAGAAAGTAAGCCTAATGGAAAATAAAGACGCACTACGTAATGATCACATCACGTTGTATAAACATTGTATCGCATTTAGATAAAATTATATACACGATTGTAACTTACATCTATTTTACTAATTAAATTATTTCTTTATTTTACATAACATCGTCGTTGAATTTTCCATTTGATCTAACTAATCCAATTAATTTAGTCTAGATGTGCCTTTCACTCATGTTCCATAAGATGCTTTCGGAACAATGCGGTTTGAGAACCATCAGCAGAACAGAATAGTTTCCTTAACAGATCGTAATACGATTCTGGTGAATACGATATTTCGAGGAAACGTGAAATATTCAAATTGTATCGCATTTCATAAGACTTTCATTAACTGACTTTCAAATTAATGCGACTTCTAGTCGTACAAAATATTTTGATGGGAATGATAAGAGTATACGTATACATGTTAATAGATAAATTGGTAGAAGATGTTTATCAAACCTGTAACAAAAATGACTAAATAATATTTAAATATTTCTGACATACTTATAATATAACAAATTGGTAGAAGATATTTACTAAACCTGTAACAAAAATGACTAAATAATATTTAAATATTTCTGACATACTTATAATATAACAAACTGGTAGAAGATATTTATCAAACCTGTAACAAAAATGACTAAATAATATTTAAATATTTCTGACATACTTATAATATAACAAATTGGTAGAAGATATTTATTAAACCTGTAACAAAAATGACTAAATAATATTTAAATATTTCTGACATACTTAATATTATTTATACTTAACATTGCAAGATACATTAATAATTTTTTTTGTAAATATTCAATATTTAATGTAAAAGTTAACTTTCAATTTTAACACTGCCATGCAGAAGCAGTTGGAAATTATATTAGATAGTATTTTTGTTTCTAACAAAACTTACCAAATATCCTCACATTATTCATAGTTTCAAATAATTAATATTTCCAATTAGGTTAGTGGACAAATTCTTATAATACAGATGATTCATTCATTAAGCGTCATCCATATACTAATAGCAGTCAAAAGGTTAAAGGAACCAATATATAAAATTAATATACCAGAACAAAACATCTTTGAAAGACAACATTCCTCTCCAGTAATAAAATTTATCTCAATAAAGGAGACCATAACAGGCCTTAATTATCACGCTGTGAACAAATAACAATTAAAACAATTCCCAGAAAAATACACTTGTACGTCTTAATTTCATTTATCAGTTTCCGCGAAGAGCTATTTATATTTCTTGCCCTTCAATCGTCCCCCAATTTCATCTCATCTATGGTCCGCTAGTCAGACGCATAAAAAGCGCCATTATATCGTAACACTATCGAAGAAAAATACAAATTAATTTCCGTCTACTCGTGTTTACCGCTCTGATTAATCGTCTTCGTCGCAGAAGAGGAAGCTGTCGCTTCCCACTTTTCTTCCCTGCATTTCGCGCTCATCCACCGTGTTCGTTTATCCGGGAAAGAACAATTTTTTAAGCTCGCCGGCTCATTCGTTAGTCGCGGTATGGCCGTAGAAACGGGAATAAAACTTAATTCATGGCCGTTACCTAACCTCTTAGTCAGGATGAACGGGGAGACTTCTAATTAATTTCCGAAAGATCTTCGTGAAATATAACGCGAATGTTTCATTTCGACGATGAGCTAGATGCTCGCGCAGTCTTTATACAGCCACGATTTTCTCTACGTCCTTACGCGTTCGTCCCTTAACGTTTTCTGTCGGTAATTCCTTTTTTACGCTGGCCTTCTTTACCCGTTATTACGAGCTAGCTTCCGTTTCTTAGTTCAGAAGCACGTTCCGGTCCGTTCCTTTTTTATTTTCCACCGTAAGAAATTATGAATTTCCGAGGACACTTCGTCGTTGTTTTTTCGCCCCCGCGTTTATTTGATACTTTAATAAAAGGAAATTGTTTTGATTTTATCCGCTTCACGGGCGAAGAAATATCGGGCCAGTTTGCGAGCAGCTCGTAAAATGAAATGCACGAGACAACGGCTGAAGGAAATATAAAAAAAGTTCGGGGCAAGGGGGACGTTTAATCACGGCCGAGAGTACGTGCGTACATAGGCAAACCACTTTATGTGAATTCGTGTCGTACGATGTGAAATACCGACGCTCGGTAGTCGATTTTGACGAGAAATTGGACAAATGCGTTTCTACGAACTCGTTGTGGATTTAAACCGATATATTTATTCTGTGTGTATGCGCGAAATAAATTCATTCCCTTCTAAATATTTTACTGATTAAATATGTGGAGTTTGATAACTGAATAAATAGGTTTATTTAATGATGGACTGTCAACACATTAGACGCGAAATTTTTACATTTATAATTAATTAAAATTTAATAAAAATTTGACGTATTGTCAACTACTAGCTTAAATTAAAATACAAGAAAAATCGTACCTGTATTTTTGAAGTCTTATCCTCGTACACTAAAATTTAAATTTTCACACGCACTGACAGAAAACAGACCGCTGCCGCCATTTAGCGGTTATGCGCAGAACTCTCATGCGCAGAAGCAAAGAATTGTGGGGTTTCGTAAAGTAAAACGTTTTTATGTTTTATAGACATTCAAATATTATTTTAAAAAAAACATCTGTGAAAACAATTTTTGACTTCTTTTGTAAAAAAGAATTTATTTAAAAAATTTGTCAATATCGGTTTACCGAAGTTTTTTGCTTTGTTAATCGCAGCATCCACCAGTAGATGGTACGAACAGTGTGTTCCGAAAGAAATATTCCCCGCGTAAATTTTATAATGTATGTATAAGTCGCCAATACTCATTTATGTGATATGCTAATTATCAGGTATGTATGAAATAAACAGAAACTTCTAGTAACAAAAGAAATAATATTAATTGAGCGAGCGAGCGCATATAAGGAAAATTTAAAAATGAGTATATCGGCACTTTGGCGACGTAGTATGGTTCCTGAGGCATTTAGAAACAAATTTCTATTAGGGTTTGATGCGTTTTGATGCCTAATAAAGCCAGAAAATCAATTTTTTGTAGAATTCGGTCCAAAACGGTACGGGTGTCGCCATCTAGCGGCGAGCGGCGGAACTACGAAAAACTAAAATTTTGATTTTCTCGAAAACTAGGCACTTTTCCGAAATTCTGAGATATACAAATTTTTCCTTGTCACCTACGGAATCGAATGAATCTAATTATAGCCTGCTAGGATCATTATTAAAGAAAATAGAAAAATAGCTCATTTCATGGACTAAAAAATTGGCGTCCATCTAGCGGTGAAAGTTGGAACTACAAAAATATAAAAATGCGATTTTCTCGAAAGAGCGATTTTCTCGAAAATTAGCGAACTTTGAGTACTTCTGAGGCCCAGAAAGTGCTATGTGATCGCATTAGATCCAAAATAAAGCAATAAAAGTATGCTGAAAGATTTAATAAAGAAAATTTAAAAAATGTAATTTTATGGAGAAAAATTGTGGCGCCATCTAGCGGCGAAACTGCGAACTAAACTGAAAAACCGTATGTCCGAACACGCGTTAAGGGGTCAAATAAAAATTGATTTTCTGGGCTTAATAGGCAAAAAAATGAATAACTTATTGGACAAAAGTTGCTTTAAAATGTCTGAAGAAGCATACTACGTCTTCAAAGTTGCGAAATATTATCTTTTATATTTTTCCTTAACACGTGTTCGGGCATACGTTTTTTCAGTTTAGTTCGCAGTTTCGCCGCTAGATGGCGCCACAATTTTTCTCCATACAAATGACATTTTTTTATTTTCTTTATTAAAGCGTTTAGGAAGCTTTTATTGCATTATTTTGCTTCTAATGCGATCACATAACACTTTCTGAGCCTCAGAAGTACTCAAAGTACGCTAATTTTCGAGAAAATCGCATTTTTATATTTTTGTAGTTCCAACTTTCACCGCTAGATGGACGCCAATTTTTTAGTCCATGAAATGAGCTATTTTTCTATTTTCTTTAATAATGATCCTAGCAGGCTATAATTAGATTCATTCGATTCCGTAGGTGACAAGGAACAATTAGTATATCTCAGAATTTCGGAAAAGTTCCTAGTTTTCGAGAAAATTGAAATTTTAGTTTTTCGTAGTTCCGCTGCTCGCCGCTAGATGGCGCCACCTGTACCGTTTTGGACCGAATTCTACAAAAATTGATTTTCTGGCTTTATTAGGCATCAAAACGCATCAAACCCTAATAGAAATTTGTTTCTAAATGCCTCAGGTACCATACTACGTTGCCAAAGTGCCGAAATATTGCACTTTGCATGCGCAGTAGAATTGACACAGGTGACTCATGTACGTATCGGACACAATGCTGACACAAAATAATTAATTACTCGTTATCCGAACATTATTTATGAACTTTTATGATCGAACCATGTAAATAATGCATTACTGACCATCCTTCAATCATAAAACTTCAACATCGTTAGGTTAGGCGCGGATCGCCTCAATCAAACAGACCTAGTAGTCTTATTTTCACTTAAGTATAATAATCTTCAATTATCATTAAAAAGGAATAAAATTGTCTTTATTAAACATTAAACATGCAAATATTACAATAATTCTGTTTGGACAACCCAAATAGATTTTCTTTTCTGTAATATATTATTTTATAATGAAATTTAATCATGTACTTTCCATTTGTAAACGGTTTCGTTCAATACTGTTTGATACTGATGAGAAATTCTTGGTTAACGTGAATTTCACATAGACTTTGATAAAAATCTAGATAAAGAATAAAGAATACAATTATTTGACAGTCAAAATGATTGATGATTTGTTAATTTGTATATATTATTTACCCATTATTCTTTGTCTGCTTCGAGTTGGTAATGATAACGACGTAGAGCAGCTAAGCGTAATCTTTCAGTCTCTAAAGCCTGTTCCAGTTCTAATACGCGAACTTGAGCCTCCATTTCTAGCCGTTTAGCTTGATGAAGACTCAATCCAGAAATATCTAAATCATCTATGAAATATTAAAAATATAATGTAGTTAATTTTTGTCTCACTCAAAATTTATTATTGAATCCAATTATTTCTCCATTAAAACGGCAGTCATAGTTACCATTTTCTTCAACAAGTTGACTACAATTTTTAGCAGTTGCAACAACACTTCCTGTTGCTTGCGTCACATCCCTCGATGCTTCAGAAAGTGCAGCTAAATTAGTGCTATTCCTGTTTGCTTTTACTCTGCTCGCGACTACCAGCTGCGCTGTGGTCGCAGCAATTCCCTGTGATGCTACCATTAATTGTTCAAATTTACCATTTCCGGAAACAACTTTATCTGCTGCTTCCCTATAAGCATAAACGAGTATTTATTTCATAACAGCGAAACATGTTTATGTTTCCACTCGTTAATAAAAATATTGACTAAAACATTGACCACTGATATTATATTCGCCATAAATGTTTAAAACTACTGTCTCGACAAGTAGCCTACTTACAATAGAAGATTAGCACCCATCGCAACCGCCTTTGCTGCTGATATCAGCCCTTCGGACCATTGATGATTACGTTTATAGAATTCAGTAGCAGTAGCTGTACCCTACAATTTAATATGTATTACGTTTATATTTAACAAATAATAACTAATAAGAATAATAACAATAATCAAAGATATAAGTTACCTTTCCTTGATCAACAATTTCTGCTTGTAATAGTCGTGATTTCTTGACCAACTTTCTGATACATTTCATTAATTCTGTACATGAATCTAAAATCTTCTCATTTACTTCTAATTTCAGTCCTGAATCCGCCGCACGAGATTTTTCTAACATATCCTAATGAATTGTATGAAAACATTAAATACACAGAAAAGTATTGTACGTCAATTATCAGAATATAATATAAAAGATAATCACCCGTATTCTATTAGCAGCTTCCTCTATTGCTTTATCCATACTTAACAATTCTTGTTCCACCAAATTCCCTATAACTTCAACATTACCCTGGGCATTGGACAATGTTGCGGCAAGTTCGCATATTTTTTTAAATTGTTGCTTCACTTCGTTGATTTGACCCACGGTCGTAGGCGACTTCTCTTTCACGTGGTTAAACATCGTTAACGATTGTGTTCCTAACTGTTTGCACTCGTCAGTCAATTCTACGATACAGTAAAATTATAAATAGTACAGATATTGGTTTTATCCCTTTTAATAATCCTTGACTCTTTAAATTATAGTCACAACTTACTATCGCCCAATGCAATATCGATAGAGGTATTCGATGTAGACCTTGCATGGATTACATAGAGACCTAACATGTATGCAACCTGTATTGCACTTGTGATGAGCGCCTTTCCTTTCGTTGTATCGCATACGAAGCCAGTGTACGCTACATCCAAAGCATCCAGCGATTTCAACGTTGGTTCCTCCAGTCTTTCCAGATACTGAGGTGTACAAGCTAAATCTGACATTGCTGGATTATCAATGGCTTGCAACGAATACTGCATGATATATCCCGCTTCGCTAATACAGTTTACTGAAACAGACGTTTCATTTCATTCTTCATGTCAATGCGACTAATTGTGCTATTTTCAAATCTATATTCTGAAGGTCGTGCATTATCCTTATTAAATAAGCGGACGCATGTCATCTCATATTATATTGTCAATTTAATTGGAACACTTACGCAACAATTCATGCAATACGGTGTCAGCATGAGTATTCATTTCATTGCGACATCGCTCGGTTTCAACTTCTAATTTTTCAATTTTCAAATCCAATTCTTCCTTCTGTGCTAATAAGTCATGCAGATCTCCTTCCAATGCTGTTTTCTCGGATGTTATAAAGTCATTTTTAGCAACCAACGCCTGAAGCATTACATAGTTACCAGAACAAAATAGCAGCAAATAGTACAAATATATCAGAAAAGAAAAAAAATATTAACCAAGTTTTCAGTTTTCACGTCGTTGAGTTGCCGTTTGATATCATCCAAATCTTGCTGAGCCTCAACAGCTTTCTTCGCTTCCTGCTGAGTTATAGCTTGGCCTTGCAACAACTCGTCAAGACGACGTTCAGCTTCCACCGTTCGTCGTTCAGATTGTTCATGAGACATTTTTAATAATCCAAGTTGTTTGTCAACTTCGGCTTTCTGTCATACAAAACGAATTTCAATTGTCGAGTATTTCTAATTTATATATTTAGAATCTTAGGTCGACCCCACCTTTCTAATTAAACTGATATGCTCTTCTCTCAATTTCGCGTAGACATCTTTCAATTTGTGGAACTTTTCCTCCAAGATCTTATATTTTTCTAATAACAAAAATCAAATGGTAGTAATTCATTTCTTAACGAATAGTATCTAATAGAAATAATAACAGGCGCTAACCATCGCTTTCATGGACCTTCACCATCATTTCCGCTTTTTGTTTAACTGAATCCTGATTGATTTGCTTCTCTTGTTCAATTTCATGACACTGCAGGAAATAAGTTTATGTTAATAATATTTCCAATCAATCTCTTTACAGATTTTTTTTTAAGTAGGACTTTCAAATCATTCTCACTTTAGAAAGTAAATCTGATTCAAGTTGCGCGACACGACTGTGAAGCTCCTCCACAATTTGTTGATGATCAGTTAGAACACGATGTAATTCTTGTCTCTGACGATTGTTCTCTTGTTGTAAATGATCGATAAGACTTTCCCTGAAACACAGATGATTATATTATTACAAATTCCTCCTTGGAATCACTTTTATACTCACCTTTCCGCGATTGCGTCAGGTGAAATCGAACCATTTCGCGTGGAATCAAGTTGATCGCCCGGCAATGAACTTGTATCAGAAGTGTCGATTAAACTATCGACTACGGTTTCAGAATCTTGGAAGGATTCTTCTGGCGGTAATACCACTATCGGCGTAACGTAAGTTCGTAGTTCGGATTGTATCAAAAAATTTGGTGGATTCTGAAACACATAAATTTAATTTTGATCTGAGTTTGTGTACAATGACTCGCATATTCTTCAGTTTTCAAAGAAAATTTATTATCAGATTTAAGTATGTGAATGGATACTTACCTCAGGTAACGCAGGTATGGTTATAAGATGCTTAAAATACTGTCTCTGTTTAACGGTATTATAGAATTTCTTCAGTTCTTGAAACTGTTTCGAAAATCTATCGCGGTGACCGGCTAAAGTGTCCGCCGGAAGAGCACTATGGAGTTTGAAGAGAATTTTTACACAATAATCATACAGCTGTGATGCATCTAGAACGCACGGGATTAACGGAGCCAGTCGACACTGTCCACTGACAGTCATAGAGTTGGAAGGTGTGTTCTTCAAAGAAGCGGTAACTGAAACGTTTCAAGATCAGTTAACAGAATTATACATCTACAAACAGATTCCAAAATGAATGACAACTGTAGGAAGAACCGCTTGCCTTTTAGAAGACCTAAATATCTTCAAACTCTAATTTCCAAATTTTTGATTAAATAGCAATTCATTCCGTACCTACCTACACGTTGCAATACCAAAATATCATCCATGTAATCGAACATCTCGACCGACATTTGGAAACTGAAAAAAGCAATGATAAATTCTTATAAGAATAGGACATCTTTAAAGTATCAAATTCTAAAGAAGTTAATTTAATTACGCAGAGTAGGGCACACCCCGCTTCAATGACCTTAACACACGTTATAAAGATCAGTGCTCTGAATAGTTTCTTGTATGTACACTCACAGTTGTGGTCTTAAACGCATACATACAAAGTAACAGGGTGATTACGAGCAATTTAATGGCCCTCAAATTTAAATACAGTAGATTCAGTTATATTGCCACTAATGAGTAAGATTGGATAAAAAGTTCTGTGCTTTGATTATGGCTTTTGAGAGTTTATGTGGACCTCCATGTGCTATAAAATTCGTGGCAATAGTAGTTAGTTTGAAACTTCTATCCTAGTTTCATTGCATTGCAATGACTCAGTGTTGAAGGTGAACGGTTGAAGGTAGAAATTCTTAACATATTCTGCAGAACAATGTACATAATATATCTTTCTGATTTGCAACTAAGGCCAATTGAAAACAATTGAATTCACCATTGCAGTGTTACTCTAAATGTAAAGTAAACTTCACATGGCATATAAAAATTTGATACATATGACTCTATACAATCATAAACAAGCTCGCTTCGTACCATCTATCGATTATTTCAAGCGGCAGAAATATATGTATACATATCCTGTGTTAAGATCATTGAAATCGCCATAATCAGTCAACTCCCAAGTCAGGTAATTAACCAGGCCTAACTTACTAAACATTGATATCGTTTTCGCCGATGGATTTCAATTCCTCCGGCGTTACTTGAAGATTCCCCGGTATCCGTGGATTTCGCTGATGAAAATCTAACTTGGTGATCAGTAGCTTTATGTACAATTGAATCAGTTGACCGTAACCGTCTCGAAGGTGCAGCCATAATTTCCTAAGGTCCTCCAATTTGCCGCGATAGCGTTGAGAATCTGGGATTACCTTTGGGTGACCCTCTCGCAAAATTTTATGCAGAACGTGACAAAATTTCCATGCTACGATTTGATTCTCTTGAAGAGGCTGCCTCAACATGTACATCCAAAAGATCATTCCACTCTTCTCCTGATATGTTCCTATAATCGCGCCTATATTTCTGTAAGGTTCATACACGACATTTTGCAGAATTCAATTCACGGATTGTGAATAACCGGAACGTTTTGAATTCTGAGGTAAAAGGATACTTCGCACATGTTTCTCTTTCACCGGTGTCTCCGTAGGGTTCACAGCTTTCCCGATACTGATACTCTAGAAAAATAAGCAGTCATACAATTGTAATTCTATTCTACTTCTTTTTTACGTTACACAACAATGAGCAATAAAGACTAGAAAGTGTGACATAGTTTCTTGGAAAGCAACCGACGATTTACAATCGAGAAAGGCGAAAAAAATAGAAACGTATCAAGAAAACTGATTCATTTACCAGCTGGTGGAGTTGTTTATCGGTGAGTGGAACGACACTCATTATGATAAAGTCGTGCAACAGCTGCAGTGGAAATCGAAACAAGTATAAATAGAAATCCTAGCGGTCAGTACGTGTGAAAAATCATCCTCGTTCGCAAATTCATCAATTTCCCTGAGATGTGTTAAACGAACGTGGCCGGCATCGTTGCTGCTGTGTTGTTCCGCATCGCCTGAAATGTTGACCGGTGAAATCGTTTTGCGAAAAAAATGAAACGTTTCGGTTTTCAAGTTTCACTTGAAAAATTTCATTTGTACATTTCTAGTTATTAAGTTTGTAAATTTACAAATTCAATAAACTTACAAATTCAATATTCAAATTCCAACATTTACAAATCTCTGAATTCCTACTTTTTAAATGGACAAATTTTGAAAAATCAAAATACTCTAATTTCCAAATTTTCAACATTTAAGTTTTCAAATTTTCAAGTATTCAAACACCTACATGTCCAAATTCCCAAACCACTAAATTTCAAAATTTTTAATTCCCAAATTCCCCAAATTCCTAGGAGTCCCTAGATTTCCCAGAGTCCCCAGATCCCCTAGATTCTCCATATTCTCTAGATTACCCAAATTCCCTAGATCCCCCGATTCCCTCGATTTCTCAAATTCCCTAAATTCCCCAGATTCCCTAGATCCCCCAAATTCCCCCAAATCACCAAATCCCCTAGATTCTCTAGATTCCCCAAATTCCCTAGATTTCCAAATTCCTCAGATTCCCCCAAACCACCAGATTCCCTAGATTCCCCAAATTCCCCCAAATCACCAAGTCCCCTAAATTCCCTAGATTCTCTAGATTTTCAAATTTTTAATTCCCTAAATTTCCAAAAGCCTAATTTTCCATATCCCAAAATAACTAAATTTCCAAATACCAAAAATTCCCCAAGCTTCCAAATATAAAAATTTCCGAAAATTTTTAAATCTAAAAAATTGAATCGCAGTGCATCTGCACCTCAAAGTGCATGCACCGTGCACAGCAATGCCTGTTGAGTTCTTCAGGGGGTACTTCATGTGCATATCACTGTTATATTCCAATCTAGCTTTGTTTCTCTGCACTTCGTTATACGCACTTCTTACACTACTACAGATACAATAAACGTGTTACAATGTACACGAAACACGAATGTGAATTTGTAAAGCTGAATACAGTCTGAGAGTTAAAGGGGTAACAACAACAACTGGAGACTTCCGCGGTAAAAATCGAGAAATTTATTTTGGAAAAAATGAAAGAATTAATGCATATAACAAATGTGCAATCTCGGAAGTCCAAATGATGGGTCTTTTATGTTCATTAACCCTCCCAAGTGGTGTCAGCGCACCAGGACGGTTAACGATGCCTGTGCCAGAAAGAGTGCCGCTATACGGTTACGTTCATTCAGAAAGTATTCCACTGGTTGCACTCGCGTATGGATGAATAGGCAAGATGTAGTTCATTATAGTATGAGTCAAAGACCTGTATATATCCCAGCTACAACGAAAACAAAGATAACTACTAAAATAGAAAGACACCACGAGTCTGGAATCCGGTATTTTACACAATCGACTCAGATATTAACAATCAATTATCGATAACTTGTTTTACAACTTTGATAAGGCGCGAAAATTAAATAAAAAAATTATCTGCGAAAAGATAAGAGTTCAGTATTTTAAGAAGATAATAATAGTTTGGATAAGAATTTTAAAGAAAACGATATAAGTTCTGTTGATCAATGAATTATCAGAGCTGAAGTATTGTTATCGAATGTTTTTATCAATTTGACAACACAATTAAATTTTGAGTTGAAAGCACATATTAGCATTTATATCATTAAGTAAATTTTTTTTCGGTTTATTTCTTCGCAGTATTTGTGTACTTAATGATAGACGAAATTATTTATAATTACGAACTAATTAATTATTTTTCATTTCTAAACTTATTTTTATTAAAAAATAATAAGCAATAAATGATAAATAGTTATGGAATAATTGATAATAAAATATAACACGTTTATGTAAATAGAACAAAATAAAAAGCGTTTATCTTACATTTGTAATGTAAATGAAATTAATAACATATAAATAATATTAAACTGCGCATGAAAATTTATAATCGTTTTAATTACTCTTATGATTATATTCATTCGAAAGTATCGAATAATAAAGTAAAAATTAAAATGTGTAAACATTACCTAAATGTTCACGATAAAGAAAATTACATTCACTTCGAACAAATTATCATTTTCTTTTACAAACGATCCCTATAAGAATCAGTGCATGCGATCAGATACACATACGCACTTACACGTAAAAGAAACAAGGTTTCCTGTTAGGTGATGTCAGATTTTCTTAGAAGCACGAATACTATGAATAATTTTCACTTTAAACGGGAATGATACGATTAAAGGCCATCGGTAAATGGAAATTCGATAAACTTTCAACATTATGCAGCACTGTCAACAATTCAACGTATCAAAAATGTTCAATACAATAATAAACACATTTCCTAACCTGTACAAGGTATCTGAACGATGTATTAGGTCAAAACGAGGTCAAGGATCGCATTTTCATCGCACACGTTTAAGCATAATAGTTCAAAATGTGTTTATAATCGTTGTGTACTTTTACGAGTACTTGTATACTTCGAGTACCGAGAAAGAATATAACCTTGCGATCGTCTAGGAGATATCTAGACGTTCAAAGAGTTATTCCGTGGGTGGAACGCATAGTTGAATATTAAAATTTGTATTACATACCTGAAGTTCTTCCAACTGTTTACACAAGAAATCCAGATTAACGCATTGTTCGTTAAAAAATACGCGATCGCGTTAAATTCATTCCTCCGTCAATACACGAATTGTTTCAGAAGATTACGTAGCATAGATCCGGCTATCGTTGACGGAAACTTTATAAATGCGCACTACTGTTCCTTTTTAAATATTCACACGTTTGACTTGATAGAAAGTGCGGCAAATGACAGATGGATTATTTCGGAGGGATCGGCTTTTAATTAAAAAACGATATTAAAAACTATTCCGATACGTATAACTGTACGAATTCGACGATACGATATCAGATACGTCAAGTAAACGTCGAAGATAATGATAAGGAAATCGAGTAACGACAGATAAGCGTTGTTAATACACAAATCAAAATTTCGTACCAAATACGAAATAAATACGTGCTTCCTGTCCGCGCGTGCAACGGAATACAGCGAAACGCTTGGAATATAGCGATAGAAGTAGCGTATACATTCAGTATCAAACCGCTATTTCGAGCGCTCTTCCAATGGCGTAGCCGACTTATGAAACTTGCTGGCGCGTAAACTTGCTTTTAAAGAGACACGAACTTTTAACATTCTCACATTTGTTCTCATATGTGAACATCATTGCTTTTATTGTATTATTTTACTTTCTCTAGCAAATCTTCAAATAACCAAAATCCTAAGTTTCCAAATCCATAAATTTTTAAATTCCCAAATTTAAATATTGTTATATTTTCAAATTCTTAAAATTCCTAAATTTCTAAATACTCAAATCCCAAAAAAATTTTCAATCTTCCAAATTTTCAAATTCCGAGATCTCTCAGCTACTGTAATTATCATCTCATTATTTCTTCATTACTTATCTTCTTCCGGTATAACGCCCCTAATTTTCCTGAGTTTTTAATAAAATAATTTGCTCATTCTGAATAAAGAAACCATAAATAAATTTATAATTAGTTTGAACAGAATTGAATAATAATTGTTTAAAACTCCATATATTGCTTAAAGAAATTTCTATAAATAATTCAAAATCTTGTGATCGTAATTCAACTTCTCGCGAAAAATCAAAATTTATCGAACAAATAAATTACTGAATTAAATTTAAATTTACATAGAAAATGTAATGGTGGATTCAATAAATATTATTTATGTCACTGTATATATTATTAATGGCAATAATTTAATTAATCAAAATAAATGTATTTCATTGCTATAAATTTTCACACTAAAAAATAATTTGAAACAAAACAAAAGTTTTGGAAATACATTTGAAAATAAATGAGACAAATCATGTGCACGTATATATTTCAATTAAAAAGGTATATCATATTTATGTACAGATAGAAAGTAAACCACACATTTTTAAAGCTTGACAGTAACAATTAATAAATTGTAATTTATCGCATTTCTTTGCAAACCAAATTATACCTATTGTTACAATAAAACAGCACGCTAAGTGCAGTGTCATTTGAATGTAAAAATTAACGTGTATCGTATATCTGCCCTACTTCGCATTTATTCGGGAACAAATAGTTGAAATGTTTTAATTTTTACATCCACTTGACATTGTATTAATATGCATCTTAATCTTCGCTATGTTGTAATTGCGATAAGTACAAAATTAATTTATATTAACTAAACAAATTTGATCTTTTATTTCCCTTTATAAAATATCATTTAGGTTGATATATAATTGTTCGTCAACTATCACTTCCATAAATATGCCGAAATACACTACTTTGATAGCATACTTTTTACGTTTAATCAGATCCTTTTATACTAAACAAATTGAAAAATATTAAACTTATTATAAAACTAAAAAATATACATGTGGATGAGTTTTGTTTAAATTGAAGTTTACATAATACAGGTAGTATTAATATTTTCTATATTTTTGATTGGTATTACCACTATTGGCTACGAATATAAAATTTAATAAATTTTCTTTCCCTTTTTAAAACAAAAATGATAAAAATTCATTTTGATAAATATCTTGATAAAGACATCTTTGTAATGTAGGATACCAGATATAACAATACCAACCACACAATTAAGTAATTACGATTATTTGGTTAAATAGGCCTTAGGATAAAATTGATTTATATGTATTATATATTCATAATTTCATACATTGATACATTCATATACATGGTGTCGCCTTGGGTAGTCAAGAGTAAATCATATCTTTGACAAATGACTTTGATTCATATGTTAGTAACTATGATTTAGTATTAAATTAAATCAAATTTGAAAGATCAGTGCACAATACATACAATATACAATGTGAACAAATACAAAACATCGAATACAACTGCCTATCCTTTACCGCTTGATCAGTATCCAATATGTAATTAATTTTTCATTCTTACTTTTAATGTATTGAAATAGAAATTCAATGATTTTAAATATAAATTAATGGAAGTTAAATGTAGTGCTGAGTTAATAACGTAACTTCTATTTCCTTTTACTACATATGTAAAAATAAAATTGATTATATATATATATATGTATGTATATATTAAAAGACTGAACTATTTTTATGGATCTAATAAAATCAGCTAATGTTATTAAGTTGCAGAAGAATTAAATATACAAAAGATACAACAAACATTATTTAAAAATAATAAAATTACATCACTGACAATCTGTAAATTAAAACTTTATTAGATTTCATGATTTAAGCAATATATAACATTTTACCTTATAATATTCCTATTCAGTACGTGTATATGTCTTTTTTAAATAATAAATACACCAATAATCACTTGTTACCTTGCAATGCGGCATGCGCAGAAAATATACAAAGTAACTGATTCAGAATAAAATGAAGAGCAGGAGTAGAAAGATTAATTTAAATTGGAGAAGGATGAAGCGGTGGACAGGCAACCCCCAGCCCCTAGCAGCACCCACCACCTTGCGTGTTTCCTTGACCACCAGTACCTGCTAAACCACCAGGACTTGTAGGTGAATGTTGTGGTCCAATCTTGATACCATTTGCCTAAAAATATTTTAGTTTGTTTATTAATAATTGCTTTTAAAAGAGGATAACATCATAATTCTTTCTTAATTCTAACTTTCATTTTACCTCATTGTTTATATCAAATACACCTTCTTGAATTTTTTCATAAATTACTTTTGCTGTATTGATAAATGCTTCCTCTACATTGGCTGCTGTTTTTGCACTGGTTTCCATAAAAACTAGCCCATGTTCCCTCGCAAAAGTTTCACCTTCTTCTCTTTTCACTTCCCTTCTATTATCCAAATCACTTTTATTACCAATTAACATGATCACCATATTAGAATTTGAATGCTGTCTCGCATCTTCTAACCAAGTTGTCAAATGATTGAACGTTTCCCTACGTGTGATATCATATACTAATAGAGCTCCTGCTGCTCCACGATAATATGATCTTGTTATAGAACGGAATGCCTCTTGACCTGCCTATGAATTTAATATAATTATGGTTATTGTTTTAAATATTTTATTGTTTAGTGTTTATAATCCAAAAATAAATAATTACAGTATCCCAAATTTGAAGCTTGATTTGTTTTCCATCAATTGTAATCATACGAGCACCAAACTCTACCCCTATAGTTAAATCATGAACAGGCTGGAATCTTTTATCCGTAAATTGGAGAAGAAGACAAGATTTCCCAACCCCTATTTTAACAGATAATTATTTTTGCAATAGTTAATAATTACTATGCAATTACATTAGAGTCAAACATGTTTACAAATAACAAATAATTTTCATTTAAATAATACTTAATTCTGAATTATACAATAAAAAAATGTTACATGCTATTTCTAAAGAAATCGTAGCTTGATGTTAAACAAAATCTTCTAAAATATGTTGCACTAACATGTACTGTCAAATAAAAAAAGAAGGATATTGCAATAATATTTGTATAAAAGATTCACAATAGCATGCCTAATAACTCAATTCATATTTATATTGTGCTCATTCTATAAAAAATAACAAACAAAGAAATTTACAAACTTGCTGTAAAATCTGTCTTTAACGTAAATAAACGAAGACGACATCCTCCGAATTGATAAAAATATGATATAAAGAAAGGTGTACATAATTGAAACATTCGGAAATATTAAAAAGACAATAAAAAACGCCACTGAAATATGTGCGCATTATAGTCTTCAGAATAACATTAAGATTTACGAATCAAAAATATTATCATGCAAAAGAACGAAAACAATGGGTTCTGTCACGGTCGACGTAGTGTAGAATGTAAGAATCATCTATTCACTTTTTAAGGAACATCACGTAATTACCTGTATCCCCAATGATGATGTACTTAAACAGGTATGCGTACGACATTTTCAAAATCACGTAGAGAACAAAGGTACCTACAAGAGTTGCGAATATATTAGAAAACAGAACTTCACTTTTTTGACTTTCTTATCTCTTCTGCTTCAGCATGACGTCACTAAATCGCTTCGGTAGCTTTCGGGATTTCTCGTACTATTCGTAAGAAGTTCGGATTTCCGATATCGCGCTGCCGTCGCTTCAGTCATCGACGTATTTCGTAAGGGTTGGCTGCGTTCCAAAACCATGGCATTTTCAACTTGTATTAAATCATATATAAATTATAAATAAACTTATAATAATGTACTTAATTACCTAATTGTCAATAAACATTTAACTTTATTGCGTCATTATTATCCTAAAATCATCTTACAGCTCTCAGTTGCAGCAATATGCTAAAGTTACTAACAGATACTACCAAGTTTTACAGATAGTTTTTTTTAGAAATTCATGATTTAACGATTGCGAAGGTAATGAAGGAATATTAATATTACAAAATCTATTATTTGATAAATTATAGGAAATTAAAGTATATTGTATTTCACGAGAGAATGGTAATGTCGGATGACGAATTTTCGTTCATTCTGCGCACATCTGTTTTGAATGGCTCTTCGCACTCTTGTAATCACGGGTAATGCGCAAGCGTATTAATGACATTCATGACGCTGAATATGTATACCTTGTGATCTTTTATTTAGGATACTTTCATACATTACCACTTTCTTCTCATGAGGTTATAAATACACAATAGGAATAGAACATATTCACGATAGAATGAAGCCATAACAAGAGGAATGAAGGGATAAGCTGATACATAACTGAAACTTCAATTTGAAAACACTTTATTCATATATCTTTAGATCCATTGTCTCAGCTAGTTTCATATTTTTGATCACCGTGTATATGGCCACGAAATAATAAGCAGGCATGTAGACTGGCAGTACACCAGTAACAAAAAGCTTTCTAGAGATGCGCGAATTAATTTGCTTCTATTGCTCTACTCATATGCATTGCAATTATGTGCAGAAGATTGCTTTTTCCCTACTGACAAACAACAATATTTGCAGTTAAGCAAAATAAAGGAAACAAACAATAAAAATGACATAATATGTACAATATTATCAGTCGATAAAGCTATTGACCAATGAAATATTTATTCAAAAAGTTGATTGTCCAATGAGGAAATAGCAATGAGTTTGGTGGTAAGTAAAAGTAGTAAACAGTACGGTACGAATCGAGCTATCGTCGACGTCGAAACTGTCAAACATGGCGAGAATGTCGATCTTGAGTGGTGGTCAAAAATGTGAATAGAAGGTTCGCGTTGCGGCGAGATTCGTGAATCTCAGGTATTCTCGTCGTCGGCAGAGGCCGGCGAGAGATGCGATCGGGTGTTAGACTGTCAGGCCGAAAGTGAATGTGCCGAGTGAACGGCCCCGGCAATTTTGCGGCCGGGATTAATCTAAGGGCATGCCAATTCAGGAACTATGGGTGCTCAACAGACTAAGGAAAGAATTGTTCCTGCCGGCTCTACTGCGCGACAGACTCGCAAACAGCCAAGGAACCTCAAGGAGTCTCGTCTTGTTGGTTCCAATATATTTACAGAACACAGCGGTAATTTCCTTCTCTTATTTTCCTACTCTTTCCCTTTTTATCTTCTATTTCTTTCTTACTTCCGCCCCTTTTTTCAATCCTCTCCCTCGCACTTTCCTTCCCTCTCTTGCAATTCCTTTCTTGCAATCATATACGATTTGTTTTTCCTGAAGCAGATTTCAAATATAAATGTTTATGAAAAAAAAGAATTACAAGGAATGACATGCACAAAATACTAAATTAAAAGCAATACTTTGGTTATATAATTAGAGCATTTATGTACATGCATGTATGTGTGTTTATAGTACTTCTTTATTAAACTAATGAATGGTAATTAACTTTCAGTTATAACATTGTTAATGAAATAAATCAGTTATACAACTATTGCAAAATTGCCAGATTAAAGATATTAGCTTAAAATATTTAATCGGTTAATGACACAGAATATGAATCAGTTTTTATATCTTATAAATAATTTGTATGATTAATATAATATTAACATTACCTGTTACTAGTTAAAACAAAATAAGTAAAGATTGGAAAAAATATTAACCATAAAATATTGAAATACTGGCATTAACTTTTTTATATGAATTTGTAGTCATATATATGCAGTAGTATTATGATATTGTGCAGAAGCTCTCTTACAAAGCAGACCGCTACCTCACATTCCGGCATTACCAGATGGCGATCCTCCTAGTGGCTCTGCTATCCAACCAATTTCACAACAAGTGAATATTCAACAACATGCTGGTGTTTCATCTACAGGGCTTTTGGAAGCTGCAAACAGGTTAATTTTCATTGTATTTATATCATTCACAATTGTTCTGTTTATATGTTTATAAGAAAGAGAATGATATGTGACAAACCTAATTTGTTTAAAGCTTAATTATTGATAAACCCACAGTTCTGAGTTATTAATATTATTCTTAAACTCAAACATAAATTATAAAACATTGTTAATATTTTGTAATTTATTATGTAAAATCTTACAATGAAAAGTGCAGGAATATATTTCATATGCAAACAATTCAGTCAACCTGCAATTTAAAATATTTAAATGCATGTAGGTGGACAAGTAAAGAAAACTTATTAGCACAGGAGGAAGATGATCCACAACTATTTGTGGCTCTATATGATTTTCAAGCAGGTGGAGAAAACCAACTTAGTCTTAAAAAGGGTAACTGCTTTTACATAATTACATATATGAGACTTCTATGTCTATATAGACATAGAATTATGAAATATATTGTAAATAATTTGAATGTAGGAGAGCAAGTTCGTATTCTAAGTTATAATAAAAGTGGAGAATGGTGTGAAGCTCATTCAAGTACTGGTCAAGTGGGGTGGGTTCCTTCAAATTATGTCACCCCTGTAAATTCTTTGGAAAAACATTCTTGGTATCATGGAAGGATATCCAGAAATGCTGCTGAATATCTCCTAAGTTCTGGTATAAATGGTAGCTTTCTGGTTCGTGAATCAGAAAGCAGTCCAGGTCAACGCAGTATTTCTTTGAGATATGAGGGTAGAGTCTATCATTATAGGATTAATGAGGATAGTGAAGGAAAGGTATAGTATACCTGTACATATGTTAATGGTAATATAATAAAGTGTAATTATATAATTAAAAATATTTAATATTTTAGATGTTTGTCACAACAGAAAGCAAATTTAATACTCTGGCAGAATTGGTACATCATCATTCTATGCTTGCTGATGGTTTAATCACACAGCTACTTTATCCTGCACCAAAGCATAACAAACCAACTGTTTTTCCACTTAGTCCAGGTATGTAATAGACTTATATAGTATTCAATGAACTTTAAAGTTATGATCATATTTTATGCTAACATGATAATGTGTTGCAGAACCAGATGAATGGGAGATTAATAGGACAGATATAGTTATGAGGCATAAGTTAGGTGGAGGACAATATGGAGATGTCTATGAAGCAGTATGGAAAAGATATAACATGACTGTGGCTGTAAAAACATTAAAAGTCAGTTCTTTTTCTAAATATGAATGAAAGTCGTTAATTATTTTATATTGTAAAAATTACATATTTTATAGGAAGACACAATGGCCCTAAAGGACTTTTTGGAGGAAGCTGCAATCATGAAGGAGATGAAGCATAGGAATTTAGTTCAGCTACTGGGTGTATGTACTCGAGAACCACCTTTCTACATCATTACAGAGTTTATGAGCAAAGGAAATCTGCTAGACTATTTACGGAACGAGAGTAAACATCAAATCAATGCTGTCGTTTTGATGCACATGGCCACACAGATTGCTAGTGGAATGAGTTATTTGGAGAGTAGAAATTTTATACACAGGTACGAATTCTAAAAGTTAAAAAAGTTGAAGTATGTAAAATGTACGTTAATATCGCGACTTTCAAAACAGAGATCTAGCAGCTCGAAACTGCCTAGTGGGTGAAAACCATCTGGTAAAGGTCGCAGACTTTGGCTTGGCCCGGTTGATGAGAGATGATACGTATACGGCTCACGCTGGAGCAAAGTTTCCAATAAAATGGACTGCTCCAGAAGGATTAGCTTACAATAAATTCTCTACGAAGGTAATGTAACATTTATGCTATACTCTAGGTTATTGGATATCTTTTGATCTTTAAAATTTTCAGAGTCTCATGTACCTAGTGCAATAGACCTAGATCTCTACACTTTCAAATCCTTAGCTCCCTAGATCTACTTATCCCTAAATGAACTTAATTTTGTTACATTATATTCACAGTCTGATGTGTGGGCATTTGGAATTTTACTTTGGGAGATAGCAACCTATGGCATGTCCCCATACCCTGGTGTTGATTTGACGGATGTGTATCACATGTTGGAGAAAGGCTACCGAATGGAATGTCCACCTGGATGTCCACCGAAGGTATATGAACTGATGCGTCAATGCTGGCAGTGGGCTGCTGCTGACCGGCCTACCTTCAAAGAGATTCATCATTCTCTTGAAAATATGTTCCAAGAATCCAGTATTACCGAGGGTAAAATAAACATCCAGTGTTCTCGTAATAAGCTATGCAGTCTTGTACAATGTAAACAATCATATAAAAATTTATTATTATAGAAGTTGAAAAACAACTGCAAGGTGGCGGCGATATCCCTTTACTTTCATATAAAAAATCTCAAACTGGTAGTACTGGAAACATACATGGGCTTGTTCTAGTCTCCGAGCCATTACCCTCTTCAGGTACACATGTAGGGAATTTGTAGAATATTATTATTAATTTATAGCTATAACTTTCACACACGAAGAAACATCGTCAACCGTCATTATTAAATTTAAATTTTGATAATGAAAATAATATTCCTTTGATCGATTTGCCGTAGAAACTACTAGCTCGGTAACAAAACTGAGTACGTTTACGGGTGGTCTATCGAGTAAAAATAACAGCAATATCGTCCAAATGAGGCGTTCTACGAATAAGAAAGGAAAACAAGCTCCGGCACCTCCAAAGAGAACGAGGTATGTCTTTCTACCGTCGGTGCAGCGAAACCTCGATTACCATATCTATTATATATATTTTTCTTTGATTA